CCCTTTCTCTCCCCCCCCCCCCCTCCCCCACCCTCTCCCCATTCAACCTTTCAACCTCCATTAAAAGTGAATTATGCCACAAAGTGGCTTGTCAGCAGGTGTGTAACACTCAACAGACCTTTTTGGTACCCGTCAGAGGGAAGGGAGGTTCAGTTGGACTGAGCGGGTGTGGACCTGGTCTCGATCCGAGGACCATACCTAGGTTATACCTAGGTTGCAGGCCTTTTCTGCACTATACCACCCAGGCTTGATAGTACAACATAGTCAATGATTTACTTTTTGCGTTGGATAGACCACTTCCTGCTAGCTTAGTCCTCCAGTCTCCTCACTCGGCTCCCTTGGATCGTAGGGAATCGGACCTCAAGGAAGAATCCAGGGACGTCGTAATAATGGATCAATAGACTTTGACAAGATTGATGAGCATAGATGAGAAATGTGTCCTCTCATGTGCTCATAGACTGGAAGCTGATTATTCTCCATCAGTAGCTTCGAGCATGGGATGAAGAATATGAGTAAAAGATGGCACAGGGGAGCTTTTGATGACTGATCATTTAGGGAAGGGTTGGCGACCCTTGTTGCTCCCGTGGTACAAGTTACAAAAGCCTTCAGAGGGTCAAGATGAGAAACTTTCGACTCACTTGGTTCATGGCGTAGACTGTTCGATTCCGATAGCTCTCTCGTTTACGTTGATCGACATCCATCTCGAACGATTTGAACAGAAATGCACCAAATACCGTATAGGAGACTAGAGCGACAAACGGTAGCCATGTGCTGACTTTGAACTTTTGATAGATCCATTTGAGCCGTCGGTAGAGTTGGAACATCGGCAGCGGTTTTTTTCTTACTGAATGGATGACAGCAGTTCACAGACCAAAATGTAATGAGTGGCCCTCGAAGTTGAAATTCGGACGTTCAAGTCGTTGTCGTAAATAAAGCATCAGAAGAACAATATTGAGAAAAAGAATTGTATCGAAGCACGGGAAGTCCGCTCCCCTACTGCTTGGATAGAACAAAAGGAAGGAGAACAACGGTTCAGTATAGGTACTGGCGTGCCTATAATAGACAAACAAGACACCTGCCAAATGGCTCTTCGAGTCAATTATTCACCTAGTTATTGATTCGCTTATTTATCTTGTTTATATGTTTATTATTTAGCCTCGGGACGTCAAACGAACGTCAGGACGGCCGACAGTGCTAAGGCAAGATTTCTGAGGGAAGC